ACTAAATATCTGTGGAAAAAAACTATATTTTCACTTTAGTTTTTGAAGGATTGGATCGGTTTTCCAAAGTTCGCCATAACATTTTAAATTGGATAGTGTCTACCCGTCATATCGTTCTAGAAGACTCCGCACTTAATGTCATTTTGGACTAGTTTCAAAAACAATGAATTGCTCGCTCAGACCTAGACCAACAGAAATGCGAGAGAAAATGTTGCTCCTTTTCAAATCATGTATAGACATTTCTTTGAAACTATTATGTTACTTACATTCTAAAAAAGGTTTTGACTTTTGCAACTATTTCGAAGCCATTTTAAAAGTTTCATACGAAATGGGTTTAGTTAGAGGCGCAAATATCGAGCGAGTACACACACTACCTCAACGACACATTCAGTTTTACATCCCTTTAATATTTAACTACTCTTATTTGTGGCAGTGGATTTAATATCTCTATGGTTTTCTGTTCGAAAAAGATTTCATAGATAAGATTCGATTTCTTTTTTAAATTATTTTCTATGAGACTTATAAAAAACATATTCTTTTATTGACGTGAGCTTTTTTGAGGTGTCATATTTAATAAAGAACTTTTAAGATTCTGTGAAAAACCATTTTTTTCAGAGTTTATACCACAGTTAATCTACTATAAAAGTAAAGAAAAATGAATGATGCAGATGATTTGAATGTAATTATTATTAAATCAAGTAAAAATTTCCACAATAATAATTTTTTTCTGAGGCTTCGGGAGTGTTTTTTGAACATATCATTTGACTTTATGTGAATGATCATTTAAGTAGGCCCTGTTGTGATTATAATTGGATAATCTTTGTATAACCAAAATTTATTTCTATTGCCGTTTGTTTTTTTTTCGTATTTCTTTCACGTACTCATCAATTCAAAGCATCAACATCAATATTCTTTCTCATTTTTCATCTTGCTTTCTCATTGTCGACTACTATACGATTTGTACCTATATCATTCTAGTAAGTGGATGCCACTTTTCATGTTCAGAATCATGAACCATGTGATATAAAAAAGGCGAGTTTTCAGTTTTCTATTTCCAAAAAAAAGAAGAATAGCAAGAACAAAGAAAAATATTATGATATCAAATGAAGATGATCATTTTAAGGCGGCGAATGTCTTATGTGATGAGTTTTCTTCTTTGATTAAAAGAATAGAGAGAGAGAGAGAGAGAGAGAGAGAAAAAAAAATTACTACTTGACGCACACATACATAAGAAATAGAAATATTTGCCATTTTTTTTTCATTTGTAATGTTGTTTTTATTCCAACTATCCTAACAATAAATCGATACACATTGTATTTCCTTAAAATAACATTACTTTTCTCTTTTTTCTTAGTAAATATTTTTAAAGTCAAGAGAGAAGAAATTTGGTTATGGTTGATTGATTTTATTATCCTAAAATTAATTGAACATCTTGTAAGCAAATGCGAATTTTACTCAAAGATTTCTTTCATAAAAAATTGATAAAAAAGAAAATATTCATTAACAAACTTTTGGCATTGTTAATGACTTACCACCCATTCAATAGGAATTCTTTTTTTTATACTAAATTATTCAGGTATGAATGTGCATTTTTTCGAGTGTTTTTTCCTCTCTTGCTCTAATTGCGCACCATAAAACACTTTAGTTACTCAACTAATAATGAAGTAAGACATTTATGAGTGGAAAAAAGTTCAACAAATTGTTCTTACTATGAGTTAAATGGTACCTTCATTTTAATTTCCTGTATATTCTGTTTTTTTATTTTCTATTTAAAAACTCAATAAAATATACAACAAGATTGATATCTATTCAATTTCATAGTCATTTGTCAAACCTGAATGTATTCTTGTATATATTTCTAACCCATTGATTTTTTTTCAGATTAAGACGAAAAAAACAACAACTTCAGACCTCTATCGTATTTATCTTATCATTTATTCAAAGTAAATTGTTAATAGTATTAAAAACAATAGCTATGGTAAGTTTTAACAAATCATTATGATACATTTATTTTCCAGTTATTTGTTATATTTAGGAAAAAGAAATGATTTTATTTGTTGAAAAAAAACTATAGAGTTACTACGATAAAAAAAAAAAAAGAAGAAGAAAGTTTTTGCATCAAAATCCTAATCCTTCCTTATTTCATCTTGATTAACTTGTTAGCTATAGGCTTTAACTGTTTCTCTTTCACTAGTCAGTTGTAATATGATCAATTTTGATGACACCCGTTGAGAGTATACAGTATGTTTTTTGTTGTTGATATTTATAATTTGTTCAGCACTTCGACATTGATAAAATATCTTTTTCTATGTCCATCTGCGTGTCAATCAATATACGAAAGATGTTTTCCCATTTTTTTTTTTTATTTACGCAAATACAATCGCACATTTTGATATATGATCTAAGCCTTTTCATTTTTATAAAAATATTATTTTCTCTCTATTTCTCTTTCTCGCTTTTTCCCTATTCTTCTTCTCATTTTAAATGATATCTTTTTCAATCTGTAATAATGGTTCTTTGACGTGTCAGTCACACAGCAGCACTACAGAAGATTTATTTTATCTATTTTTTTTTTTCTCTCTCTCTCATTTTTCTTTATTCCATGCAATTCACTCATCATTATGATGAGATGAGCTAGCTATACATAGCAAGCAGGATGTCGCGCGCAACAACCATCACTAATAATAAAACTTTATGCATACTCATGAAATTGGCAGTTTTCTTTTTTTTTGTGTGTGTATTTGTGTGAGAGTGCGTGTTATATATCTTCAATTCGCGTGTGATCCTAGTTAATACAGCAAATAAACTAAATGTGCAAAAAAAACAAAAAAGGAAAGAAAAAAGAAAGGAAAAGACAAGAATTAGATCTTTAATATCTATAAAATACTAATTAATTGTAAGTAATTAAAAGAATATTTATTTTTTAATCGATAAAAAAAAAGACAAAATAACAAAAACATCCACTTTTTTCATTATTCACTAATAATAAAGTCCTGTTGTTTACATTACAATGTCTATCATAAACAGTTGTGCTATTTTATTATTATTAGAAAAGTGATCAGGATTATGTAAATAAATAAAGAAATAATTTTACTCAACAACGTTATATCAACAATGTATATAGTACAATTGATGTGAAAAGTACTTTTCTCTTTATTTTATAAAAATGAGAAAAAACATCAAAACACTGAAAAAGAATAATTTAGAGTATAATCTGTTGAAAATTTTATTTTGTGATCATAATCAAAATTATCGACAGTTTTTTTATTTTTACTAGTATTTTTATTAGAGAAATTGATTGGCTTTTTTTTTGTTTTTCACATGTGTCTATGAATTGAGTTCAGAATATTAGAGAGAATTTTGATATCCGGAAAAACAGTTGAGATCTATTTTTGAATATTGTCGTTTCTCTGGTGTGGCATATTAACATAGCAATACATTTTTTTTTATGTCTTACATGTGGACAATAACCATCGTCTGTTTTATGATAAAATGTTTATATGTTTGAATAACAAATAACCTTGTAATATCAAAAATATTTGACCTTAATAATGAAAGACACGTATCTATTCAATATTGGTCAAACAACAATAACAACATCATTTTCTCTCTTTGCTCTCTATACAGACAGGTATTTATTAATCTTATTGATAAAAGAAAGTTTATTTTTATATATTTTTTATTTGAAAAAAAAGAGAATAAAAAACATTTATCATTTTTTATACATGGCAATATGGTTTTTCTTATAATCTTTAATTTGTATTTGTATGTGTCAAAAATAGATTGTAGGAGTATGTATGGATAGTCTCTACATAGATAGAAGAGAACTAAAACACATTATATGTAGAATATAAATTGATTGTGGGAGAAAGAGAGAGAGAGGGAGAGAGAAAAAAAGAATAGAAACAACAAAATCAGTTTTAATATATTATTTATATTTCAAGTACTATTTTATCGATCTAGACTAAGAAAATGAGAGAAATTTTGACACACAAAAAAACTTAAAGTGTTATATCGAACAGTCTTGTTTTAATATATCGGAAAAAAAGAACAAAGTGTTCAACTATGCACTATTTATAAAATATGGCCAAAAGAATAATCTGGGCTTATAGTCTGAACAATAAACTCACTCAATTATAAAAAGCATATTTTTTTTTTCTCGTCTTACACACTAAACTAATGGGACTTTTCTTTTCCATCTCCTTCTTGATCGTTGTTTGTTATATCGTTATCTATCGTTTTGTAACCGGAATGATTTCGCTCATTCAAGCGCAATGGTGCGCATAAACTGATTCTCTTGATGTTGTAAAATATCTACACATTCTTAAAACAACTTTTCTCGATAAAATTTTAAGCGTTCATTGTGTGAAAACAAAATATATTTTTTTTATTAGATATATTTTATAAAAACAATCAAAAAAAAAAAATCTATAATCTCAATTTTCGGTCAATAAAAATCAAACAGAAATCTAGGAAAAATGATCTCCCATAATTTAGATATTAGAAATAAAATAATCTCAAAGATAATTTGGAAAAATTATCTATTTGTCTAGCTCATTATGCAAAAATATATTGTAACTAAATTTTAATCTTTAAATTATTAAATAGTTTTTCTTTACTTGTAGGATAATAAATACAAATTTTTTAAATGAACAACGATATATTTATAAAAGCATCTCTCATTTAGATATTTTAATGTTGTTATTACTGAGTATTAGTATTAACTTGACTAATGTTATTTACCAGTTCTCTATTATCATCATCTCCCAAATATTCTCAAAAATAGCAACGATACTGTATATGAAGAGAAATAATTCTATCGTAATCAGAATAGTCGACAACGATATAACAACAAAGATAAAGAAAAATTAGATGAAAGAGAAAACTTTCATCAAGATATAAGAAGAGAAAAATATATTCAATAATATCTTCTTTGTCAACAATCCATAGTACTCTTGTTAATAGTGATAATAATAATAATAATAATCATAATAATGAGAATGAAAGCACTGGTAAAAAGTAATACGATTACTAGTTTAACAAAATAGAATCTTTTTACTTTATTACTAGATAAAGATTGGTTTTATTCTTCAATAACAACAACAACATCAACAAGAAATATACAAAGTTCTCAATGGCGTTCTTCATGTCCCGTATTTTTTAGTAGTAGTGGATTATCATTGAATAAAAATAGAAAATCCTATTTTCCTCCTACACCAGAAATAAACCATAATGATGAAATTGTTCTATTCACAAATGAACAACAACAGCAACAATCAATGACAATGTCAAATATAAAAGAAATAGAAAAACTAACAAATGTAATAAATATACGTGAAGAAGAAGAATCAACGATTGATGACAGAAAAAAAATGACTGTATTTCATCAACAGAATAATAATGGAACAAATAATGACTTTATACATCGAAAAAAATCAGCAGATTTTAGTTTAGATGATGATAATAATAAACTAAATTTATCATTAGCAACATATGATAATGTAACAACTCCAATGTCAAATACGTACACTATTATTGATAAATCTCAATATAATTTAAATAAATATAATCCATTGTTAAAATCGAATGTTAATAGTCCAATGTCAGATTCTAATTTATTACTTTCTTCAAATCCGCATCATCACCAACGAACAATACCATTAACAAATATACTCTTCGATATGACAGATACAAAAATAGTAGAGAATGAAAAATTTATAAAAGATATTAATAACAACGGTAATGAATTGACAACAACAACAACAACGAATAATATAACTAGTAATGATATTGTATTGAATCAAAAACCGGAACGTTCATCTCAATCTAGTATAAAACGTGTTCAATCACAACTAACACAAGAAATAAAACCAAATGATCATACAACAATGAATAATAGAGTCATTTTAAATGTTGGAGGTGTAAGACACGAAGGTAAAATGATAGAATCAAAGAATAAAATTGTTACATTTTTATGCGTATATAATTAACTTAAGTATTATTTATTTTTTTTAACTCTAGTTTTATGGCGAACACTCAATCGTTTACCAAATACACGTTTAGGTAGATTATCTAAAGCCGTAACACATGATGAGATAATGAAATCATGTGATGATTATGATTTAAATGATAATGAATATTTTTTTGATCGACATCCACGATCATTTACATCTGTTATTAATTTTTATCGAACCGGTAAATTACACTTAGTTGACGATGTATGTGTCATATCATTTCATGATGATTTACTTTATTGGGATATTGATGAATATTATTTGGAATTATGTTGTCAAAATAAATATCATCAAAAAAAAGAACATGTTTTAGAAGAAATGAAAAAAGAATTAGAACTATTAAAAGTTAAAGATGAAGATAATATTGGAAAATATAAATTTTGTCCTAGTATAAGAAAAAAGTAGGCAATATAGAATTTTTATTAATGAATCTAATAGTATCAATTTTCATTTTTAAATTTGTTTCATTTCAGCATTTGGGATCTAATGGAAAATCCACATACATCAACGGCAGCACGAGTAAATATAAAATCTATTACTTGATCTGGTAACAATAATACTAAGTTGTTTTAATATCAAAAAATGAACATTTTTTCAGTACCTTCATATTTTCTGAAGTCTAAGAGCGATCAGTTGTGTTCTCCTCCATTTATGTTTAAAAAAAAAAACTATTTGATTTTCTGCTTTTCAATCCATTGTAATTGATTAATCAGAAATTGAAACCGCTATCCAGAAGAGTATACCACATCAATTGAGAGGTAGTCTTTTTAGATGAAAAATCTAAAAGAAGAAAGAATGAATACCATTAAAAAAGAAAAGAAGAGAACAGGAGAGAGTTTTAAATAAGTTGTTGAATAGTATTTTTTCTCAAATTTCTCACACTTGTTAACCTATATTTAACTGAGAATGTTCCCGTACTCCACTCTTATAATAGCTGAGGGAGAAAAAAATGAATTCTGAAGTAACGTGTTGTTACCTCTCAAATTATATCTTGTATTTTTTAACATGTCAAACATTTGTTCTAACTAAAACATAGATAATTTAGAATACCATAAATATTTAGTTAACATAGATTAATTGAGAAAATGATAACCACCCTTGATCCCGAAGTAATTTAACCTTGTATATGTATCCTTTATCGTTTCATCTAACAGCTAAAGATATATTTGATACTGGTAACTTTCAAGTTTTGACATGTTTATTTGAGTTGTTAATGAGTTCATCAGTCATAATTGACATTATTTTTCACAAAACTGTTATAAATGGATAAAATAACAAATGACTTAGGGAAAAAAGCGATATTTGAGCTTGATGTGTTTAATTAGCTTTAAAATGAGAGAAATGAACTCGGTAAATAATTTATGAAAATTAATTAATGATTTTGTCAGTAGTAAAGTATATTTAATAAGAAAAAAATAATTTAAGAACAAAATAAATGCTAGATTACAATAGTTTTCCACTAATATTCCGTTTTTTGTTAAAGAAAATTTAATTTTTTTTTGGCCGATCTTTTTCTCGTCCTTATCTCAAGCGGCTGTGGAACTTTACGATGACCTCACATCATTATTAAGCTCAATGAATGAACGCAAGAATTATATTATGAAAGAATTACATTATTTATTTTATTAATGGAGTTCAACGAGAAAAATACTAGAAAATAAACTGAGATTTGCACTATCTCCTTACCAAAATTGTAATGATAATAACCACTGGTCTTCAAAATATGATGTGAGGTCATCGTAAAGTTTCCAGCCACTTAGGATAAGACGGGGAAAAGATCGTCCAAAGAAAGTTAAATTTTCTTTAACAAAAAACGGAATATTAGTGGAAAACTATTGTAATCTAGCATTTATTTTGTTCATAAATTATTTACCGAGCTCATTTTTCTCTTTTTATCGTCAAAAATAAAACTAATCAAGTTCATTTGTATCTTGTCAGAGTATAAATTAATTTCCGAGCTCAAAACTCTCATTTATCTAAATAAAATATAATTTTATTACAACCGAGCTCATTTCTCTCATTTCAAAGCCAGTTAAACACATCGAGCTCAAATATCGCTTTTTTCCAAACTCATTTAATTTCGCGTCTGTTATAAATATCCTGTAGAGCAGCAACATGGACTAAACTGTATTCTGTTGGACGTATATAATTATGAAATAGAGTCTATTTTTTCAATTTACTTTCGATACTCAACATGAAAAGTCCACGATAGATTAGAAGCAAAATGGCGAAGATCTAAGAGTCCGTGTAAATTTATAGTTTACCACGCTTTCCACTACTGCGAAAGTACTTACATATGTTACTTTTCTCAATTTAGATAATTACCTTTGTCAGTATCGCTTTTATTGTTTTATCTTCGTTCACCTTGACCGTTAGTACAATTGAAGGTATTGGATGTGCAGCCAATATTTCATCAACGCTGGAAGATGCACAAGATGTTGCGTCGGCCGATGCAGTATCAGCAGCTGCTGCGGCTGCGGCAGCCGCCGCTGCTAAAGAACAGCACAATCAAGATGAACCCTGTCGTGAACCATTATTTTTATTTGTTATCGAAACGTTGTGTATAGCATGGTTTACAATGGAATATATTCTACGTGTATTTGCTGCACCAGATAAATGTAAATTTTTTAAAGGAGTATTAAATACAATAGATTTAATTGCCATCGTACCATTTTATATTTCGATAATACTCGAAAGCCTTGATACAGGCAATTTAAAAAATTTAAAAAGTGTTCGAAAAGTTGTTCAAGTATTTCGTGTATTACGTATTATGCGTATATTAAAATTAGCTCGACATTCCACTGGATTACAATCATTAGGCTATACACTAAGACGATCGTATAAAGAATTATCGATGTTATTAATGTTTTTAGCCATTTTCATATTGTTATTTTCAAGTTTAGCATACTTTGCTGAAAAAGATGCGAATGCAATACAATTTAGATCTATACCACATGCTTTCTGGTGGGCAAGTATTACGATGACAACAGTCGGGTAAGTTTAGATTTAATTTTAATTTTGTATTTTACAAACTGAAAACTTTTGTTTATTTCAGATATGGTGATATATATCCAAAATCTGTAAGTTGAATTATATACATATTATTGTCAGTAAAAAAACAAAGAATGGACTCAAATATAGGAATGCACTGGTATCGGTATACCGAATACCAAAAATACCGATTTTTTTTTACTAGGGCTTTTTTGGATTTTTTCATTTGAAATGAGATATTTTGGCGTCCTGGATAGGCAGAACGCATAAAAAACACTCAGCTGTGTATTTTGAGCATATGCCGATAGAAAAAAGAAGAAAAATTTTGGGTTCAGAAAGCAAACAAAGCTCTTGTTTTGCGTCCGTGATTCTTTCTGGGTGTCCAGGATGCTAAAATATCATATTTCGAATGAAAAAATCGAAAAAAGTCCAAGTAAAAACGCACCGGTATTTTCAATATGGATACCGGTACCGGTGCACTCGGATGTTGTTTAAATAAACTTTTAAACTAACAGTGATAGAGAGTTGCAGTTTTTACCAATCGAAGGGGAAGATCCAACCACGTCTTTTCATAATAAAAGTCATTTTGAAATTTTTTTTCGAAATAGATTTTTCGGAGGATCGTTGGAAAAATCCGATCATTACTTATGTACTTGAAATGCGAATATTTTGGCTTCTATCACGTTTCCTCTTCAAAATGGAGTGAAGCGAGATCTTCGCATTCAAAAATTCGAATGTAGTATCGGATATTCCTGGAAACCCCGAACTTGTACTTGATGACTTGGTGTAGCTTGAAAAACGCATGAAACATATGTAATCAAGCATACTGAATCTGGTAGGAATATGTGCTTTTGGAAAAGAACCCATAGATTTAGTTCAACTAAGATTTACAGACTTTCTTCATCAAAGAGTAAAAATTCTCAATTCATCCAACATGGATCAGAAGTAGAAGATCCTCTAGAAAAACTTTCGAAAAATCAGACAGATTTTGTAAGTCTTGTAGATTCTTTTTCTATAGGCTTCTTACAAATAGGATGTAGAATAGGTTTGGAGTCCATTCTTTACGAGCAGTAATCGTAAGATTATCTCTGATGACTGATTAACTTTTCAATGTTTTTCTATGTACATAGTTTTGGGGCAAACTAATTGGTAGCGTCTGTTGTGTATGTGGGGTCTTAGTCATTGCTTTACCAATCCCAATCATTGTTAATAATTTTGCTGAATATTACAAAGAACAATTGAGACGCGAAAAAGCGCTTAAACGTCAAGAAGCGATTGATCGTGCAAAAAAAGATGGCTCCATTGTATCGATACAATCACAATTTTCAGCTATGAATTTAACCGGTGGTGGAAGAGCAAATGTACAAGCTAACGTTATACCAACTGATACAAACAATCAATATGAAAATCGCTCAAAAAGAACTGGTACATTGAAATTAACATTACTCAGTCCAGATGATCTACTAGATCCCGGATGTTACGAAAAACAGCAAAAACAAACACCGATGATGGATTCTCCATTATCCGCTATAGTAACGTCAACACCAACCATACTAGTGAGACATTCCCCTCTATCCACAACGGCACAACAAAGTGATACGCGATCATCATATAAAAATAAAGCAAAACGTTTGAGCGACACTGCAAATAAACAATCGAGTCAATCGACATTTATTCCTGTAGATGATAATACGAATAGACCAGAATATGATAATATCCAGCAACTTTATTCTCGAGATAAAACGACGACACAGAATAGTGATATATCGTCATCAGATGTGAAAACGATTGATTATGTTCAATCAGATAATAACGACGAATCGTTATTAAAAATGAAAACAAATGTAAACGATGACAGAATTCACTCGGTAAATAAATTACAAACGAATCGACCATCATCATCATCGTTATTAGCTCGTCGACGTCTAATCTATAATTGTGGTGATGAAAACGTTATCAATAAAAAAGAACTCGATCATCTTCTATGTCATCAACAGACCGATGAACAACAAGAACAACTACATCAACAGCATCTTCAGCAAACTACTATGGAAAATGTAAATAATGATAAATTATGAAGCTTTTATTACTTTCCATAATATTTAAGGTCGACAATCAATCATTCATCATGCGTAGTACAATATGCTCAAACCAAATTCTTATTTAATATTTCTATTTTAAACAACTTGTTTTTACTATTTCGGTTTTTTATTTGTACTTATTCCTTTACATAATAAAAAACTCACATATCAGTTGATAAATGCTTGCATCTTGGGAGAATCATGCATCTCTAGAAAAGCGACGTACTTATAAATAAACACAGTGGCACAGTGCTTTGGAATGAATAAAACATCTACTTTCTTTTTCTTGCAAATTACCCATGTGTTACGATCTGTCCATGGATATGTGTAAAATGTGAAAACACTCATTAACACCCAAAAATTCCGAGAGTTAATCTACATGACTCTCTGATCCTATTTTGGTACGGTCTTTGATCGAAGAAAATGTCTTGGTGGTTTCTGAAATATTTAAAAAAAATAAATAAAAATAAATTCATCAATATGATTCATTCTCAAAGACAGTGATAATCTGTATATTTATTGTATTAAATTCAAATTAATTGTTGTTCTTCCTCAGAAAATGATAATGTCGTACAATCACTTTTTGACGGTGGAACAGACGTAAATTCGAACTATGTTCAAAATCCATATGTCCTCTATCAATAGACGCCAATATGGAACAAACTGTTGTAATCTACCATCTACATCTTTTTTCAAATTTTCTTATGTGCAGAAAAAATTATCACAACAAAATAATTTTATTTGTCATCACTATTATCCAAATCATCGATATCAAAACACACGATCTCAATATAATTATCGTAATACTTCTTCTAATAGTGGTGATAGAGAAAATAGAAATACACAGAATACATCCACCACATCAAAACCTCCAAAGTATGTCGAAGGTACAGTCACCTCTAAAAGTACAGAACGGAAAGAAGTAATACTGACAGTCGTCGACCAGTACGCATGGATAGAAGAAATGTTTATTTAACTAATGTAAAATTTTTTTATCAAGTTTCCAATTACTAGAATCTGTTAAATATCTTGAAGCCCAATCAATATGTGTGTTCCATTTTCCTGGAAGATATTCAGCTGTTGTATGAAAATTATTTTGTATACAATAATTCCAAAAATCTTTTGCATCTTCAATTAGAAAACTGAACTTGTATCTCCTACAAGTTGAGATAAGAAATGGAATGAGTTTCTACACATGTTCACCAGATTGAGGACTTACGGCAAACTATCGCTAGATTGTTTGTGTACACAATATTTCGGACAAAAAATACACTTTTTATAGTGAAAAAGTACTTCTAGCTTTTCTCAATATTTTTCTTATCGTTGTTCTAACGAGAGAAGGCTTCCGACTGTCAAATCGCTTTTGACGTAAAACTTAGTGGACAATGGGTAGCCGAGCATGCTGATTCCCAATATAACGATGGTTTTTGCCAATGCGTCTTTGGAGACCCCGGGTTTTGAAAAACTGGCTTTTCGCAATGAAAAATTTTTTTGATCCGTACAAATGAAAGCGCATGCTCTAAAACCTACGCAAAACTATTTTTTAACGTTTTGGAACGGTTTTGAACAGTTTTTAAAGGGTCTAAACTTAATACTACAGCCGAAAAACAGCTTTTTACGTTCAAACTTTTGGTTTTGCACGCTTCCAAAACCTTAAAAAATAGTTTTGCGTAGGTTTTAGAGCATGCGCTTTCATTTGTACGGATCAAAAAAATTTTTGATCAAAAAAGTTTTTCATTGCGAAAATCCAGTTTTTCAAAAACCGGGGTCTCCAAAGACTCATTGGCAAAAACCATTGTCATATTCGGAATCAGCATGCTTGGTCCACTAAGTTTTATGTCAAAAACGATTTGACAGTCGGGAGCCTTCCCTCGTAAGAGCTTGTCAAAATTCCCAGTCAGTTTAGGTGCTACTGAGCTCAGGATGGTTTGATCTTGTAGAGAATGTTATTGCTTTGAGGGTACAGATTCGGATTATCAAGTTACATTCCAAAAGGTCAGAAAATCTAAGGATCTCTGAAAACACGGAAGAAGTTTTCAAGTCTTTTTAACGATAAATGTTTCGTATTAATAAATAAGAAAAAATTTCAAAAAGTCCGTCTCTGCATTGCCAAAGCGATAATATTTTTCTAAGAAATATGATCATTCGGTGTACTGTATTAGCTAAACTGGTTGAGAGTTTTAAGAAATCTTAAATGGTCCATTTTGATCGTACACTTCAACTTAACTTCCAAAGCAGTTGATAGATTACGTCGAAATTTTTATTATAAATTGTTATTGATACAATTGATATCCATTGAAAGTTTCATCAAGATTTTACTCAACTAGCAGAGAATAAATGTCTAGCAGGAGGTTCTTAAACGTAAGTGCAGTGGTTCCATTCTAACCGACCACAGCTCTCAACATTCCATTATGGGTAGTCCACCGTTAGAGGTATTTGTAATGTTTCTTCCTTTTTGACAAAACTAATTGATTGAAACTCTCATTGAACACAATTTGTTTCCTATGTAAAGGTGTTTTTCCCTTTCCTTTACCGATATGTTTCGATGCTACATTTTATCCACAATTTTTTTCTTATAAAGTTTAAGTAGAAAAAAAAGTAATTTTTTTAAGAAAAAAATTCTAGCTTGTACTAAGATAACAACAAAAAAAGGAAAACAAACATTTGTACAAAATAATTATTTTTCTGTGGTCACACCGATATTTTGTCTCACTGCTTTATATTCTTTTCTTGCTTGATCAATCAAAACATTTGTCAGTATATTTGAATAATTTCTTGTATCAGGTATTATTCTTGGATAAGGATTATCTTTCATTTCAACAACGATATTTTGTTTTACATTAGATCCATAACAATTTTCACCACGCTCTATGGGTAATCGATAAGACTTCAAACACGAAAGAAAGAGTTAACATTAGTTTTAATTAGAACACCATTAAATAAGAACGAGAGACTTACATTCGTATATGGTCCATCTGTTTTCAGATATCTTGGTACGTAGACTTTAAACATTTTATAAATAATATCTTTTTCGTTGATCCAATAATCCATTAACTGAAATTATAATTAAAAAACTTAATGTGTGCTATGATCACGAGGCCACTGAACATACTTGCATCGTTCCTACGTGTCTAAAATAAATAAAGTACAGAAAAAGTTACTGGTAGCAAATATTTTGATTACCTATCACCGTATTTTTTTCCCATTTCAATCAATCGTTCAACATACTGTCGTGCTTCATCATATGGTCGTATATAGCCCTCAACTCTAAACGCAAACAGTTATTGATCTGTTAGTTAGAAACAAATGATTAAATGTACCTTTCATGACGTAATAAATCGGTAATAATTGTTTTTAGTTTTTCGTGACGAGCTTGTAGACCACCATAAGCTATTCTATTACGAATTTTATATGGAATAGTCACTCGGAGTGCTCTGTTTGAAAAGATGTACAAAATTTGTAATAAGCACTGTTATCTAGCTCAAAACATAATAATCCTTCATTGCATCAACGCTTGAACGAAAAGAATCTTTTGTAGCCAATGAGTGATTCTCTTGACTACAGATGATTTAACTGACAAATCTTTGAAAGTCGACAATATCGTACATGTTTCCGGTATACATTTACAGTCCAAAACGTCTTCTACACATTTATACATTATTGAGATTTGTATGTATCATGATTCGAGTGAAGGTTCAGTTTTGCTAGAAGTCTGAATAGAGGATCTAGACAGACTTCTAAACAGTTTGAGAAATAATTGGAAACATAGGTTATTATCCAATCTGCAACTTATGACATCAATGTTTTTTTATTAAATTTCTGATTTACTAAGTTTTATTTGCTTTACACGATAAAATTACTGTAAATTTCAAGTATAATTTTTTTATTCTACAGAATTTTTAGCTGGATCTGTAGACAACTCTCGTGAGAAACAATACGAATTAGGGTTTTTACCACCAAAGTGTGATAACCTTGTTCTTAAGTTTTCAAATGATTAAAATCGATGTTTGACGGATTATTTGTTGGTACTTTAGATATATTTCTGAAATATTGTTAATTTTCAATCAAAATATTCTCCCTAAGATTTCATCATTCTTATTAAGCCTCGTTTCTAGCAAAACTGAGCCTCCACTCGAACCATGATAGATGCAAATCCCAGTATCGTGTAAATGTGTAGAAGACGTTTTGGACTGTAAATGTATACCGGAAACATGTACGATATTGTCGACTTTCAAAGATTTGTCAGTTAAATCATCTGTAGCAGAGAGAATCACTCATTGGTTATAAAAGATTCTTTTCGTTCAAACGTTGCTGAAGATATAGTGAAGGAAACAATAATGCATACCTTGTACTTAAATTACTCATTCTTTCGAAAATCTAAAACGAAAAGTGCATTTTTCAGGCAACTAAAAAGAACAGTAGTTACTACAGTATTAAAATGGTGTAATTTCAGAACGCACTGTTTTTTTGCACCAATCCATTTTATATTGTACAGTATCAAAAAAAAAATACTCAAAAAGGTGCATGGATATACAAAAAAAATATCTAAGTCCTAATGAAAATCACAGAATGTTTAACGAAATAAAGAAACAAAGAGACATATCAAATGCATATGCAGAAACGCGCACGTACACAGACACAACACTACGAAATAATATACATACAAAGGGTAAAAAAGAATGACTGATAGATAAAAAGAAAAACAGGACAGGATTTTTGGTTTATTTTACGTCACTGGTTTAGGGTAATACTGTTCAACAAAAATGAATGGAGTAAGAGTGAGACAAGCTCATTTGGTTAAAAAATGTGGACACATGAAAAAATCGAAGGGAAAAATCTATTGGTAATGGAGAAACCAGTCACCGGGGAGCAGTAACCAAACACATATTCCAATCAATCTTTTGTTGCAGTGAATTTGATTCATCTTCAACAAACAATCCGTTTGTCCATAACTCAGATAATGATGTTCGTCGAGATGAAAGCGTTGATTCAACGACTGAGTTATCACAAACAGCATCTCTCGAAAAATGACACGTATTGTCAAGATGGTTAGCATTATTACCGATGTTCTAAAACAAAAAACGCAAAATTATTATTATTTAACGTTGTGAATACAATGATCGATTGACCCTTTATACGCTAATTATAAATTTTAGATAAACTTTTAATCCTTAGTCATTCAGATAAGTTTGTTTTCTTGAGTGTATAATACACGATTACAACGAACGCTCTAATTAGACAAGATCAAAGTCACAAATGATATTGCTCTTTAACATATTTGTCTGTTTCTTGTAATTTGAACTCTGAAAACCTGAACAACTGTCCTCTCTTCAATAACCATCAATCCGTATTTTAAGCAAGTATACCAACAGTTTATAACTAACCATAAATTCATCACTAATTTTTGCTTCCGAAATATCATCATCATTGTTTTCAAATTCATCATTATCATTGTTAATGTCAATCTGATTTCCTAATAATGTTAAATTCAATTGTGCAGTCAAATGTCCCATACTTGATGCTGCACGATATAAATCACATGCCTTTTAAAATAAAAGTTTGTCTTTTTTTTTAAGTTAGAATAATAAAAGTTTACTTTTTTAGTAAACACTGAGTTTGTTCATCTTACTTTTGCTCGATCTTTTTCCACTCCAAAACCATGTTCATAACAAAGTGCCAAATTATAGAATGCAGCTGCATTCAATCCCATTTTAACTGTTGATTGTAATTGTTCAATACCATTTTGAACATTTCCCGATTCAATTGAATCAATCGCTGATTGATTATTAATAGCAGTTGATATTTGATCATAGACAGATGAGAAACGATTTAAAATTTTAACACATTTTTCATCAGAATTTAAGAATTGATCTAAACTATCAACATCTAATGAAACATTTTCTTGTTGTTTTTGTTGTTCTTTAGGTGCTCTGTCAATTGATTGGGACTAAAAATATAATACTCCATATAAATTTTGAAGTAGAACGTTTCGAGAACTTGTCCGTTCAACTTCTTTCAGGAAAATTTCGAAACTCACTGGAACATTTGGTTTGCTCGATGTTGTTGTCGGTTGAACAGATTTTATTAAAATAAAATTTGACGTTGACGCTCGAAGTAAATTTATCGCATTTAGAAATGCATTCTTTTTTTGTAAAAGCTAAAGATGACCAAATATAAAGTATTAGAATAATACAAATATTTCAAATATTTTCATACTTACTAATTGTTGACTGATTTGCCGTAATTTTTCCTGCAAATGTTCAATACTATCATAGGCTAATTGACTATTTTTTAATATATGGTCAACACAAGCCTTTTGAACTTGAAGTAATTGTTGTTCACTAAAATAAATTAAAGATGAGAACACAATTACCAGAAAAATGTGACAAGAGATCTTACTTTTTTCGATTTATATCGTCATCATTACTTAGTAATGTTGTCGTTGATATTAATGATGCATCTTGGGTATTACAACGATGATGACACGTAGTATTACGAAAAGCTAAAAGATAAAAAGAAAATATTGAGAGAGTTTTTTTTATCACAGTGGAAATTATTGCTCACCTCGATAAACGAAATTGGCCAAACGCCACATTGACCGAGCTTATCGGTACAGTAAAATATAGTATTGTTCAGTCATAACTGAAAATAAAACAAACATAAGCGCTCAATATTTTCATAAAACTAGCGCAAAAGAGTGAAAAGACCTTAACTTTACCAAAACTGTCATGTCTCTAGTAAAGACGTATCTCTCTATGGAGTTTCAGCGACAATCGATGAAAAAAACAACTATTTTTTTACTAAATTTGTTAAGAGCATCTCAATTTCTTCACTCTCTCTCGCACAATGAAAACATTTTTCTCCATATCTCTTATCATATTCTCTTTTCAAAATGGAAACCTAGCAGAAAAGAAAAGAGAAATGTAAGCAAGATAGTGAAGAGATTAAGATAAATCTTAGATATTCCTTATTTGATACTCCTGTATTCTCTTCTGTACAGAAAGGGGTGTGTTTATTTTTCTATATACACTCTTACTCTTTTCTTTTGCACAATCGAGCATGACACATCATATGTCAAATGACGCATGAAATAAACAAACTGACAAGGTCAGATACAGTAGCAAAAAACATGAAGGTCATATCCTGAACGCGGGTTGTGGGTTCATAATCCGAAGTACTGCATATATCCTACATAACTACAATTTTTTAATGGTTTGGCATGTACCTTCACAAATTACTAGTGCCGGAGTCAAAAAGCAGTGGCACTCAGATGTTTTTTGAATAACATTTGATGGGAATGAGGTAGAGAGGTCGGTTATCACCATTTTGAATTAAATTCATGGGGATATCGAACGACTTAAAAACGATCTGAAAACTACCAGTTTCAGGTGGTGTACCTTCCCGGACAAAATATTCAGCAGTGCCGCAGACAGGATCCTAAATAAAACTTTTGTTCTAAATTTACACCTAGATAGAGCAACATCTGCTCTACAAAAGTAACCAAGTCTGAGACCTCTGTCTTTTTCGTTTGGTAGCTACAGACATTTAGCTGAGACCACCGGGGTAAACTTGGGATCGACCATTTTTAAGGTTTGGAGCCTCAGTAATATATGCAAACATACGTTTTCAACTATGCTGATTCTCGTGGCGATGTTTGTTTGAAAAAAGTTCAAAAATCTAGTGAAACTTTATACTGGATGAAATAACCCATTTCTGCCTATTTTCATGTAAAATTAGCAAATTCATAACTCAGTCAGAATTGATCCAAACTATGTCAGAATATCAAGATAATTCTGACTGAGTTATGAATTTGCTAATTTTACATGAAAATAGGCAGAAATGGGTTATTTCATCCAGTATAAAGTTTCACTAGATTTTTGAACTTTTTTCAAACA